CTTGTCTGTTTTAGATCCCAAGCCCTTGCTTCTTCACCGTGATAGAAAAGGGAAGAGCCATCTGGTACTGAATAATGAAGTGTTATAAGTTAATAATGAGGAGCAAGTTTTTAGAAATTGTAAATCTGTGCAGGGTAGAAAATAGACATGCAGAAACATGCCTTGTAGTTGTCTGTCAGGAATAGGTTGCCCCTTACAAGTGCTTAATAGTCTCTGTAATATGTTCAAATCTACCTCTTCTGATTCAGTTTCATCCTAAAGATCTTTCTTTCTTCATTCTTGGTCATGCAAATCATGAAAGAGATGTCAAAAACCGAGAACCCATATTATTAGGATAGAATCACCTCTTCATTGCAGGGGATAGTGTGACCTACCTTTTATGATTGTCCCATTTTTCATGAAAATAATTCTTTTCTGAGGAAAATTGGACATTTCAGAATAGGACTGATCATATGGTGCTTCAACGTGTTTCAGCAGTTTGTTACTTCCTCTCTATTGTACATTTTGGTAAATAATGTTTATGCTTCTCTATTCTTTTTCTCCTCTTTTGGGGGGTGTTTAATGAACAAATCTGCTATGTATAATAAAGGCATGAAATTGAAAAGAATGCAAGTATTACGAGCAGAATATTTTGCAGAAAAAAAACAAGAAAGCTACGCTTTTGTGACATTATTTAATATATTTGTCTGGTCTAGTGTGACATTAACTACTTTAGCTGCTGGTTTAATTTTAGATTAAAAATGAACATAAACTATATTTTGGTAATAATTTATGTAGTTTGTGGTGCCTTCTGAATAAGACCATTTTTAGCAAATGTATAGTTAAATCTAATGTATGAAATACAATCTTAGTGCAACAAGATTGTGTGTGTCTAGTCTGCTCAGTGAGATGAGTGTAGTTTATATATACATTTACATATTTATTATATTTGTAGTCTTTTTCTAAATGCTCAAAGTAGCCTATATATTTTTTTCTCCTAACTTGCATAGAACAGCTGCCAGTGGGCTAGGTTATTTTAGAGGTGGAAATGATCCAGTCAATCAATCAACTTCCCTCTCTGAGATTTCCCTGGTTTTAGCCCAAGAGCTTAACCATTGTAGTTCACTGGCTGTTTTTGAAAGCCTTTGGAATGACATAGAGAAGATAATGGACCCTCTTCCTATTAACTAGTAACACTAAACACAAATTGAAACGTTGAAGGAGAACATAGCTTTTAGAAGCGTTATTTTGTTTAAAATAAACGAATGCTGACATTCATTGCATGTATTTCCAGGCAGTGTGCAACGATAATATATTCCATACACTTAAAACATATCTGGGCAGAAGGAAATGTTAAGGTAAATAAATAAATTAGCAAGCAAATAGTAATACATTTATATTTTCTGAGTCACTAGAATTGTCCCCATTGCTTTATTTTTACCTTTATTGTCAGAGTACAATATGTGTACAATGAGATTGGCTGAGCCTTCCTTCGTGCACTCCCCCCAACACAACTCACAGTGAGGACAGAAGTCCCTAACCCAGTCCCAATCTTATTACACTATGTGACCTTGTTACACAACGTGCCGGCCCTGCAAGTCTGTCATACTAGGTTGACATGAAGTTATTTTCTGTTCAGAAGTCTGGCAGCCCACGGGTAGAAACTATTCTTCAGCCTGTTGGTACAGCTGGTTGTGCTTCTATATCTCCTACCCGATGATAGGAGAGTGAAGAAGTGCTGACCGGGATGTGTGTCATCCCTGAGAATTTTCCTTGCTCTTCTAAGGCAGCGAGCCCTAGCGATGTCATCTAGTGGTATCAGGGAACAGCCTCTTTTGTGCTGTGCTCAGCACCCTCTGTAATGTCTTTCTATCCATGGCTGTCAAGCCAGCATACCACACCGTAATGCAATATGTGAGGACACTTTCTATTGTGGACTGGTAAAAGGAGGTCATCGGTCGTTGTTCCACTTTATTCTTTTGCAAGACCCCAAGGAAATGGAGTCTCTGTTGGGTCTTTCTGGCCACCTGGGTTGTGTTGATTTTCCAGGTGAGATCTTTGCTGAGGTAGATTCCCAGGAATTTAAAGGAGGAAACTCTCTCCACACAGCCCTCCTCGATGTAAAGTGGGGCGGGTTCCTGTCTCTTCTTCCAGAAGTTTAACACCATCTCCTTTGTCTTGCTGATGTTTAGGTGCAGGTTGTTTTCTAGGCACCATGAGGATAATTTTTGAACCTCCCCCTTGTACGCTGTTTCGTCTCCACCTGTAATGATACCCAATATGGTAGTATCATCTGCAAACTTAATGATCACAGTGGATGGGTCAGACAATACACAGTCATGTGTGTACAGTGAGTACAGGTAGGGACTGAGCTCACAGCCTGTGGGGAGCCAGTGCTAAGTTTCAGGGAGGTGAATGTGACAGATCCAGCCCTCACTGTTTGTGGTTGGTCCCTCAGAAAGTCTTTGATCTAGTCACAGATGGAAAAGGAAAAATCCAAGTCCGGGGAGGGGAGGGGAAGAGGAAGAGTGAGGAATTCTACCAAATTTGGTTTCTCATTTTATCATCTTTCAGAATACTGTATTTTTTAAATTTGGAAACTGATTTGAAAAAAAAACTTCTCAGACAGGCCTCACTGTAATTCAAAGATAAAAGGGAGGGAAGGCAGAAGCATATTAAAGCCTTTATGACAGACTATAGCTGTTATCATAAAAATAGTCCTGATCTATATGGCATTAATTTGTCATCTAGTATGGTGAAGAGGAGAGCACTTAACATCCAGGGCTGTTTGGGGTATCCCTTTCTGTAGCTGATTGGGTTGAAATTTTGACAAAATCGAAGATATCATATCAACCTAGCCACTTTTTTGCGTTGCCATTTTGTTTTTCTCTTTTTTTCAATACAATAATATTTCAAGGATTATTGTCAGCTGCATCTGTGGAAAAGAGACACGATATAAATGTTTTTAAAATGTGAAGCAATGTATCTATTCTCATGCAAATGTATACTTCCTCTTTTTCTCTTTTCTGTTGCCTCCTTTCTCTCTTTTCCCTTTAACTTCTTTTATTTTTCCCTGTAGTTATCTCCCATGCCTCCCGCCCCCCATTTCTTTTATACTCTCTCGGCCCACAGAAATAAACAAAGAAAAGTTCAAAACTATGCACACTCTGATGTTCTGTGTCCAATTTCCCCCAAAATGGTGTGTGAGAGTTGTTAAGGTTCACTGGAGAATATCCATTTTAATCTTCCATTTAAAAAAATATGGAAAAGAGCAATGTTGACTCTTCTGCTTGTAGCTTAGATCATGTGCATTGTCTAATTGGAGATAAGAAGATCAAGCATTTAAAATCACAGCCAATATACGGTACAGTCAAGTAAACGAACAGGCGGCTTATGCATGTAGTTGAAAACTAGGTTTAGCCTAACTGAACTTTCAATGTATTACTGTTTTGTAAAAGTAGAGTATTTCAAATGTATTTTGATGCTTCTCAGGTTTATTGTGAACATCTTTTTTCCAGTTGTTCGAGTTCACTTCATTGTCAGCACCCACAGAGGATGCCAACAATGGATAACAGTACTTAAAGGCAGAGAGTGTCTTCCACATAAGCACTAGCACAATGTTAGAATAAGCTGTATGTGTGAAAAATGTTGGTTTGTCTGAGGCAGTAGTCAGTGTTTAATAGTCAAGTTACCTAAGGATACATTGAGAAATATTAGATAGGTTGGCAGTTCTTCATGTATGTCAAGCCTAAATGCCAGTTCTGGTGATAAAATTATCTGGTTTTATGGTCGTAGAGGTTTGAAATAAGTTTATTATTTTTACAGCCTAAGGCTGGAACTGTTCTGTATATATTGTCCTTGTAGTTTTTTTTCTCCTTTATTCCCTGTAAGGATTTAGAAGCCAAAATATGTGATAGAATAGCATTGCTTTGTGAGCTTCTTCATTCTGGCTCACATTCATGTTGACTACATTGATGTTAGAAAGGTATTTCTTGTTTTTAAAGTACATAAGAGGTAAGTGAAAAAGGTTTGAACTGGTGACTAAAGGATCACTGGTGCAGAGAAGGTCCTTCATGTAACTCTACTTAACAGACAACGCGAAATTAGGATTTTAATTTCAGTGTAAGTTCTACATCATTGTTAATTCAAGTTGTGAACAAAGCAAATTCTCTCATTCCTTAAATAATTAGATTTATATATTGGGACTCCAGGCTCAGTGTTGTCCCCATGTGATCTAACTTCTCTGTGAAATCATTGGGAGAAGTCATTTATAGTTTGGAGTACGAAACTTTCAGTGTGTACATAATACCTAGTTTTAGGTATTACCTCTTACTACAAGTAGGCAGGAAATACACTATTTCTGAATAGACTTACATGAGCAGGTCCATGAAAGAACAGCTGTTGGCGTTTAGGGTTCAAGGGCAATCGCAGCTTCTGCTTCTGGTTCTTTATAGAAAAGGAGGCTTTAACATGTCCTTATTTATTTTTTTCAATCATTATTATTAACATCATTAACAGCTTCTATCCCAGGGCAGTAGCTCTTTTGAATTCTGCTGTATAGTGCAGTATTGGTGCGGTGTTGGGGGTTTCGGTTCAGTGTGTGGAGTGTGAAGGATGTGTGTTTGTGTTTATTTTCATGGTCATGGTCATGATGTGCACTGAAGATGGTGTTTGATTTCGTTGTACGAGGTGCAATGACAATAAACTAAACTAAATTGTGGCTCCTTGTTCTTACCTTGAGAGCAACACCAATGTCTTCAGATCAGGATCTGGGGATTAAGAACCATGGTGTGGATTGTTTTTAACCCTTATATGTTTTCTTGTCTTTTGGGTTAATGTTATGATTATAATTTTTAGCCAGCAGAAGTTTCTGGAAGTGGCCAGAATATAAATGCTAATAAGTAAGTAAGTAAAATACTAGAAAGTTCCTGTTAGGGTGTAAATGCAATAATGTACTTTCAGCACATTTTTTAACAATCATTCTTACCTTTAGTTGATGAAAAATATATTAATTGTTTTAGGAAACATTAATGCAAGAGGGCAAGCAGTGCAAAACAGGAGTGGAAGACATTTGCATGTCAGATAAACATTCAAGGAGTGAAAACAACAGCAGCGAAGAGGAAAGAGACAAAACAAAATTACTCTTGGAACGGCTGAAGGCTCTGGAGGTAAGATTAAAAAAAAACATCTCTCATCCAGGCTCTTGGTTTTTATTGGCACCGAATAGTGGTGCAGTATAAATTTTATCTCCCTCAGTTCTGCTAAAGGTTCTGCTAAAAATATTTTTGATCATGATTCATTAGATCAGGATGAATGAAATGTTGCACCTTGGAATCACTGAAGCTATTTTTCTCTAATGTCAAGGATCATGTACCTTAAAGAGAAACTTCATAAATAAATGTAAGTTGTTCCAAGCTGGAGGCTAGCTGAAAGCCATAGAGACTTTAATACAGAAAACGTAGTCTGTATGATTTAGTTTGAAGTGTTAATTTAGGGCACAAGCCACAACAGAACTCCTTCAACTTTCCATGCTGTGGCAGAGAATGGGGCCTCCCCAAATCAGAGGTAACCAGTAGAATGCCAATGTAATAAACTTTTCAGTATTCCTACAGTTGGCTGGGTTGTAATAATAACTCCCAACAGCAAGCCTTGAATACAGTTTGAAAGGTACTGCTTTGCTACATAGTCAGAGGATGCATGGAAGTTAGAAGGATAGGAGTTGGGGGAGCATGGCCATTTATGATGTAGCGTTGCTGGGCTTCTAGATACTGTGCCTATTCAATAATGCATTCATTTTCTTGTTTATGATGTGAAAAAAAGTTATTCTCCCATCCCTGAAAACCCCTTGTAATCAAGACAGGATAGGCATTTGGCCCTTAGCCAACAGGCTCCTTGCCTGAGCTGATGGTGTTAGGGTTACCAAGGCTATGAGGAATTTCAACAGACATAATGATACAGGTCTCTGAGAAGTGCCTTAGGAGTTCATGACTACCATGGATCTACTTAGGAGAAAATAAGTAATTTAACCATTTCTTTCTAATCACCTAGCCACAATATTGTATTGTACAAATGTATACGTTTAGAAAATGATGGTAAATGGGTATAATTGTCATGATATCATTAAAAATACTTAAAACTGATTTATTCGTTATTAGCTTATACAGCATAATGTTTACTATGTTTTTAAAAGTACAGGGGAAATTGAGGAATTTTTAACAGTTTGAATCATGATTTTGTCTGTCTCATAGTTTTAACCTTGTTTCTTTTCCATAAGTTCTTAAATTTATTAAATCTCATTTCATAAATCTTAGGACTTTTCAAGGATGCAACCCTTGCAGTTGAAATCACACCACATCTTACTTTATAGCTGCAACAGCTACATTCTAAAAATGTGAATAAGTACTTTTGTTTACCTTTGCGTTGCTTAATTATTCTCAATTTTGATCAATTATTGTAGAGGAGCTAATACTGCATTTTCATCCTTCCAGTATACTTTTCAGTGTGTTCTCGATGAATGGTTAGTGTAGTTTGCATAGCTTCTCTTTTCTTCAGTTTTTTTCCTAATGATGGAAAGTTGTTTAAATGAAATCATAGCACTGTATCAGTTATTGCCAATTGTTATAAGAGAGAGGAGGAAAACTCATTACATTTTTAAGACGCAATCATGGCTGTGGAAGGTCACCAAATAGGATTTCTTCATTGATTTTAGTTTTGTGCGGTAGCTTGCTTTTAAAAATAAAAAAGAATGTACCAGTGCTTCCAAAATTAATCTACAGAAGCAATCCAAGAAGTAATCCATGGAGAAAAATGAACTACAGACCAACCATTATAACTACTCAAAGATAATTAGAATAAGGTGCTGCTAATTGTATGTTGGCTTTATGTTATAAACTTTTTAGCCTTGTGTATTTGTGCTTCAGGGGTTTAGAATTTTTAAAAATCTTGCTCCAAAGCTCTAAAGTTTATTAGGAGTCATACATTTTACTACCATGTAATCAGTTGATTTAATTTTTTGTCATACGAATAATTAATTGTTGTATTTCATTAATAGATTGGGTAGGTGGAACAAAAATTTGCTTTTTAATCTGTTTAGATATCAAGTCTTACTATTAACTATATGAAATGGTATAATATAAATAAGGGAATAAAATTATACAAATAAGGGACACAGATTATACAAATTATCTAATTAGTACAGTTGAACAAATAAGGGCTATAATACATTAATATGAATTGTAGATTGTAAAATTTCTTTGGCACTGTTCTTTCTGCCCCGTTTTTAAAAATAAACTTCATTAGTTAAATAACCTTTAATTGGCAAAATCTAGATATACAGATATGTATTTATATGCCATTTATGAATTTTATCCTTTGTATAAAACATTTTTATAGAAGTCTTCCTCTATCCCAGGGGTGTCAAACTGAGTTCTTCAAAGGCCAGATCAGCATTGTATTTCTCCTCCATGGGCCAGCTTGGAGGGGGGAGACAGGATAGATGCCTTCTGCAGCACCTTGCTGGTCAAAATGGGGTGCAGCCTTCCACGCTCCATTTTCAGCCTTGGTGGCCTCCTGCAACACTTTACTGGCCAAAATGGGGCGCAGGCTGGCTTCCAGAGGCATTGTGGGCCAGTTCTTTGCTATTTCCTGGCTGGTTCTGCGGGCCAGATTTAAGCACCTTAAGTTTGACACCCCTGCTCTATCCGATTATAAGATACTGTAAAAGAAGGAAAGTATCTCATAAAATAAAGTAAAAATAAATAGGCTCTTTCACATAGCTGTTGGCTTCAACTTTCCAAATCATCAGGAACATTTTTATACCACTGGATGGATGATGCCTCTTGAATGTCCAAATACCTCCCCCACTTTGAAAAAGAACAGTGCTCCCTCTAGAAGCAACTAGAACCATAGGTGGACAGTCTCAAGCAGAATCTTTATTGTTAGTCAACTATGTTGCAAGAATCTTACCAGATTGATTAAATTCCCTTGCAAAGGGTTTTTATGCTGTAAGATTTTTGGGATTCTTTAGGAGGACATGCTTGGGTCGCTTTCTGTAGTGCAAGGACTCTAAGTCAACCCCCTCTTAACCCTCTCTCCAGTCTAGCTAGAGTTTCTACCACATCATTCATTCATACTCATTAAGATGAAAAGCCCTCTAAAGCTACCGTGCTGTAGTGCTATAAACACATACTCTTCAGAACAGATGGAAAGCAGTTAGAGAAATAATGGCAAAGAGCCTTAGTAGGGCCTACATAGGAGGAAAGGAGAAAACACAAGAATGGAAAAGCAAGTAAAGACGACAGCCCCTAGCAAAGTTACAACTGGTGCAGTGACTAATTTGATTATTTTGCAGTATATAAAAACTATCCAGCACCTATGTCTGCTCTAGAAATCTGCTCATATTTTTTTTAAAAAAATCAGATATCACAATAAGCTCAAGTCTTGTGTATTGTGAACTTTTGTTAAAATGGAAATTGGATTCAAAGATCTTGCGAATGGCAGCTAGAACATGGATGTTTATTCTAATTTATGTGATGTAGCAGAGATAAGTTTGTCCTGGCTTGCATCGATTGTGACTTGGATTCAAATTAAATCTCTCGTCGGTGTCGCTGACTTTATATCTTGGAACGGATACAAGGTCTTTATTCCCTTGGTCAGGTAGTAGAAAGGAAAGGAAAAATGCATCTGTTCCTAGTAAAAGTCAAGAATGCAATATTGTACCACTTATTTAAAAGGTATCTAGAGAGGTGACTGCCGTTCTACATGGAATTAGGTGATAGGAACCCAGCATACTACGTAGAGCATGAAAATGACACAGAATTTTTATTACTCTGAACAGAAGAGACAAGTTTGATTAATTTCCACATTCATCCTTATCCCTCATTGCCATCTCCCCCTACCTCCACCCCAATTCTAGAGGGACTTCCAACGCTGAAGCAATTTTTCAGAGCGCACAGAAGAGTACAAGGAAACAGTAATATTGTAAGCGCTGGTAAGGTCTAGTAAGGTATTATGCACACCTGCATAAATACTTTCTAATAGTTAGTTAGTATCTGCCTATCTGTTTGTCTGTCTGCCTGTGTGCCTCTCTCCCTCTCTCTCCCTCTCTTTCTCCCTCTCTGCATACGTTTGTGTGTGTGTGTAATTGAAATTAGGAGAACAGCAAAATAACCCTGAAATCTTTGCTCTGAGGTTGAAAAATGGATAGGGTTTTTTGTTGTTTTTTTTTGCTGAAGAAAGAAAGCTTCTGAAAGGAATGGGTTCCAAGATGCAATCAGCGGGATTGGAATTATGGAAGCAGTGACTATCGGTAACGTTTCTCGGCTCATATGTATGGGCAGGGTGGTGGTGGGGGCTGACATAGCTGCACTTTCAAAAAGAGATACTTTTCTTCATAGTAGTTCTTAGTTTGATTTTCAAGAACTGAGTCGTCCATTTGTGTCCTAAATATTGATTGCACAACAAATGAGAATGGTCCAGTTGGTTGTACATAGGGAGCAACCTGTTTGACATTACAGTACATTGGGAAAAAGAAGTATCTGTTTGTTTTCTTTAAGAATCGCTCTCAGGAATAGGTTCTTTAACTAATGTAGTGCATTCTATCAGCTTTCAAATCTCTGGGAAGGGAGTTTCCACAAAGCATAATAACACATTTGGTGAAAGAAGCATCAGTTCCAGCAATACTATAGAATGATGTTGCATGAAAGAGATTTGTAGAATAGCAACGTGAGGTGAATTGCTTTACTGATAAGAAACAGTAAGATTGATGTGTGATCCATCTCCAGCCTTTCCTTTTGAAAGTAGGACTTCTATTTGCCATTCAGTCAGAAGGAGTTTAGCAAATATTAGCCCAGACTGCCACTTTTTGCAAAGATCTACGTTAGGATTAAAAATGTATTGTGCTCTGTATATTGTAGCTTATGCATGTTTTGGGTATGTATACAGATTTTTCTCCAAAAATAGAATTAATTGGAAGATTATCTTGAAGTGTGAATGGAAAAAAGGCTTGTCCAGCAAGGTAAAATATTTGATTTTCAACAGTGGATTTCTTAATTATTTATGATTCTATTTTTCTTAATATCTTTATTTAATAAACAAATATTTCATTATAATCCAAGACCATATCGTGTTCTTCCATGCTATATATCTTTAGCACAATGGTCTTTCCAAG